CTTTCCTCTGCACTTCCACATAGCCTTTCCCCCCCCCCCCGCCTTTCCCCCTCCCTTTTCCCTTTTTTCCCTTTAGTTAAATTGCTTAGTTAATAATAATCTTTCCTTAATAATTATTTTTTTCCCCTTTAATTAAATTATCCTTATCTCAACCCATGAGTTGTTCTTTACTTCTTCCCTTATCCAAGTCATTGATGAATATATTGAACAGCACTGGTCCCACCCAGTACTGGCCCTCGAGGAACTCCACTGTATACAGGACTCCAACTCATCTCCATCTCATTAACCACAACCCTCTGGCTTCTTCCCTTCAGCCAGTTCACAGTCACTCCCCGACAGTCCAGACCACACTTCCTCAGTTTAGCTGTGAGAGACGGTGTATGGTGTCAAAGGCTTTACTGAAATCAAGACAGACCACATCCACTGCTTTACCATCACCTATTCACCTGGTTATGCCCTCAAAAAAGGGTACCAGCTTGGTCAAGCACAACTTCCCCTTGATGAAACCATGCTGACTGCCCCTAATGACCTTATCATTCCCTACCCCGATCTCAACAGCATCAAAACACTAACACAGAGCCCTGCCACTGCCCCTCCTCAGCTGCCTGTCCCTTCTGAAGAGCTCGTAGCCATCCATTGCAGCACTCCAGTCATGGGACTGGTCCCACCATATTCAGTGATGGCAGCTGGGCCATTGCTTTCCTGCCATATGATGGCTTCCAGCTCCTCCTGTTTGTTGCCCACACTGCGTGCATCGGTGTAGATGCGCTTCAGTTACAACACTGCCCTCACCCTCAACCGTGGGACTGCTCCATCGGGCTCATCTCTGCAGAGCCTTATTTCCTCCCTGTCCCCCTTCACACCTAGTTTAAAGCTCTCGCAACAAGCCCTGTCAGCTCCTGGGCTAGAATCTGTTTCCCCCTTTCAGACAGCTGGGACCCCTCTACAGCCATCAGCCAAGGTGCTGAGTAAACCTTCCCAAGGCCGAAAAATTAAAATAAAAATTCCTGCAATGCCACCAGCCTCTCAGCCACGTGTTGAGCAGCTGGGCTTCCCAGGTCTGCTCAGTGTCCCTCCCAGCCACCGAAGGGATGGAGGAAAACACCATCTGCACACCCACTCACCACCCCAACCCCCTGAAGTCCCTTTCGAGAGCCTCCAGGCTTCTCTCAGCAGTTTCACCGCTGCAGCCTGAATTATCACTAAGGGACAACAATCAGAGGGGTGAACAGGGACAGGAAGTTTCACCACAACTCTTGGGGCCCAGCTAACCTGACAGTTTTTAACCCAACAAAGCATACAGCCATCCAAGCCTTGAGCAGCCAGCTCCTTCAGGAGAATGCTGTAGGAAATGGTGTCAAAAGCCTTCCTGAAGTCTAGGCAGACCACATCCACAGCCTTTCCCTCAACCACTGGGCACGTCACACAGGCTTCTCTTCTTCTGGCACTCCTCCAACCAGTCTCCTAAACAGGCAAAGGTTGCCCTCAGGAAGTCCAGGGTAGCAGTTCTGCTAACCCCTCCCCCTGCTTTTCCAAAAACCAAAACCACTATTAATTTATGATGGCTATGCCCAAGACAGCCTTCAATTCTCACATCACCCACAGGTCCTTCTCTGTTAACAAGCAGAAGATCCAGTGGGGTGCCATCCCTAGCTGGCTCTCACCAGCTGTCAGGAATTTATCTTCCATACACTCCAGAAACCTCTTGCACCGTTTCCTCTCTTCCGTGTAGTATTTCTCACAGACATTTGGTAAGTTGAAGCTCCTCACAAGAACAAGGGTAAGCATTTCTCCCCCCTACTTGTAGAATATATGATCTGCCTCTTCGGCCTGGTTAGGTGGCCTGCAAGAGACTCCCACCGTGACGCACACCTTGTTGGCTTTCCCGCTGATTCTTACCCATGCACACTCAGCTCTGTCATTGCCACTGTTCAGTTCTACACAGCCCAAACATTCCCTAAAATACTGGGCTACCCTCCCACCTCTCCTTCCAAGCCTGTCCCTTCCGAAGAGTTTGTAGCCATCCATTGCAGCACTCCCACCGTGTGAGCCATCCCACCGTGTTTCTGTACCAGCAGCTGTGTCACAGCTCTCCTGCTGCACAAGGGCTTCCAGCTCTTCTCTTGGTTGCCCACACCACCTGCACTGGTGTAGAAGCACTTCAGTTGGATACTGTCATCTTTTTTGGGGGGGGAGAAGGCTTAATGCCTGCACGACCATTCCTGGGCTCTTTTGTGATTTCTAACCCATCAATGTCCCTTGTGCCTTTGCTGCTGCATGGCTCTCCTACCCTACCTCAACAGGGGCAGCAGACCAATGAAGTTGGTCTGAAGTTTCTTCAGGTTGAACTCTAGCAGAAATATTAAGAGTGTAGTCACAGCTGCTGAACGTGCTGTATCTATTACAAATCATAGAATCATTAAGGTTGGAAAAGCCCTCCAAGATCATCTGGTCCAACCATCCCCCTACCACCAATGTCACCCACTAAACCATGTCCCTAAGCACCACATCCAACTTCTCCTTGAACACAGGGACGGTGACTCCACCATATCCCTAGGCAACCTGTCCCAATGCCTAACCACTCTGAGACGAAATGTCTCCTCATTTCCAACCTAAACCTCCCCTGGCACAACTTGAGGCCATTCCCTCTAGTCCTATTGCTAGTTCCCTGTGAGAAGAGGCCAGCCCCCAGCTCCCCACACCTTCCTTTCAGGTAGCTGTAGAGAGCAGTAACATATATATTTTGTTAAGCCAAAAGCTTGGGCAGAGCTCCTTGAAAACACTGTTCTTCTCTGTGTCCCAAAAGGAAAGATATAAACTGAGAAACAAAATCAGCAGTTATGATTATCTTGGAGCAACTTGTTTCCCCCGCCCTGCAATTACAGAATCACAGAATTTCTAGGTTGGAAGAGACCTCAAGATCATCGAGTCCAACCTCTAACCTAACACTAACAGTCCCCACTAAACCATATCCCTAAGCTCTACATCTAAATGTCTTCTGAAGACTTCCAGGGATGGTGACTCCACCACCTCCCTGGGCAGCCTGTTCCAGTGCCTAACAACCCTTTCAGTAAAGAAGTTCTTCTTAAGGTCCAACCTAAAACTCCCCTGGCGCAACTTAAGCCCATTCCCCCTCATCCTGTCACCAGGCACGTGGGAGAACAGGCCAACCCCCACCTCATTACAGCCTCCTTTAAGGTATCTGTAGAGAGCAATAAGGTCGCCCCTGAGCCTCCTTTTCTCCAGGCTGAACAAGCCCAGCTCCCTCAGCCGCTCCTCGCAGGACTTGTTCTTCAGGCCCCTCACCAGCTTTGTTGCCCTTCTCTGGACCCGCTCAAGCACCTCCATGTCCTTCTTGTAGCGAGGGGCCCAAAACTGAACACAGTACTCGAGGTGTGGCCTCACCAGAGCCAAGTACAGGGGGACGATCACCTCCCTAGCCCTGCTGGTCACACTGTTTCTGATACAAGCCAGGATGCCGTTGGCCTTCTTGGCCACCTGAGCACACTGCTGGCTCATATTCAGCCGACTGTCCACCATCACTCCCAGGTCCTTCTCTGCCTGGCAGCTCTCCAACTACTCATCTCCCAGCCTGTAGCTCTGCTTGGGGTTATTGCGCCCCAGGTGCAGGACCCGGCACTTGGCCTTGTTGAACTTCATGCAGTTGACCTCAGCCCATCGGTGCAGCCTATCCAGATCCTCCTGCAGAGCCTTCCTACCCTCGAGCAGATCGACACACGCACCTAGCTTGGTGTCATCTGCGAACTTACTGAGGGTGCACTCAATGCCCTCGTCCAGATCATTGATGAAGATGTTAAAGAGGACCGGCCCCAGCACCGAGCCCTGGGGAACGCCACTAGTAACCGGCCTCCAACTGGACTTGGCTCCATTTACCACGACTCTTTGGGCCCGGCTATCCAGCCAGTTTCTAACCCAACGAAGCGTGCACCAGTCCAAGGCAAGAGCAGCCAGTTTCTTGAGGAGAATGCTGTGGGAGACGGTGTCAAAAGCCTTGCTGAAGTCAAGGTAGACCACATCCACAGCCTTTCCCTCGTCCACCCAGCGCGTCACTTTGTCATAGAAGGAGATCAGGTTCGTCAAGCAGGATCTGCCTTCCATAAACTCATGCTGACTGGGCCTGATCGCCTGCTTGCCCTTCAAGTGCCGCATGATGACTCCCAAGAGGATCTGCTCCATGAGCTTCCCTGGTACTGAGGTCAAACTGACAGGCCTGTAGTTCCCCGGGTCTGCCCTCCAGCCCTTCTTGTAGATGGGCGTCACATTTGCTAGCCACCAGTCAGCTGGGACCTCCCCCGATAGCCAGGACTGCTGATAAATGATCGATAGGGGCTTGGCCAGCTCCTCTGCCAGTTCTCTCAGTACCCTTGGGTGGATCCCATCCGGCCCCATCGACTTGTGCACATTCAAGTGCCGTAGCAGGTCACCAACCAGTTCTTCATGGATGGTGAGGGCCACATCCTGCTCCCCGTCCCCTTCCACCAGCTCAGGGTACTGGGTATCCAGAGAACAACTGGTATGGCCGCTAAAGACTGAGGCAAAGAAGGCATCAAGCACCTCCGCCTTTTCCTCATCTCTTGTAACTAAGATTCCCCCTGCATCCAGTAAAGGATGGAGATTCTCCTTAGTCCTCCTTTTTGTGTTGATGTATTTATAAAAGCGTTTTTTGTTGTCTTTGACGGCAGTAGCCAGATTGAGGTCCAGATGAGCTTTGGCCTTCCTAATTTTGTCCCAATTAATTCCTTTTGAATGCAAGACACCATTGGTTCTCCAGATTTGTCAGGAGTATGATTGAAATGTCTTTCAAATTGCCAGCATATACCTTTTTCAGCCCTCAGTCCTATTTACCCAGCACTGACTTTGTTAGATTTTCCATTATATGGTTTGGCCTCAGTAGCCCCCAAGTTTGGAGGAAAGATAATCCCTGATGACAGTCATTTCATCAAACTCCTACAAAAATAGATTATTTCTGGCATACTAGATTATTTCTAGCATACTGCACCAGCAAGTATTATTTATTGTTGCCCACTTCTTAAAGCAATTTCCTCTTTCAACTACACCGTTCTTCCGTGGACTAGATGAAGACACCTTCAGGTTTATCCTTTTCAGTAAGGAAATGTTGCAGTGAAGCATTGTTAGAGAGATTCTAATTTGTCACAGACATTCATCATCAGCTTCTCTAGGTCAAAGGCAAGATAGAATCAACATTTACATTCAAAACATTGCCTATTTACTGTGGCAGCAACAAGAACAAACTGATTATAACAGATGGATAAGCAGAGGCCAACTGTTCTCCCTGTTTTTCCTTAACTCATGCTTTGAGGAAGACTTACAAGAGCACAATTCAACCTGAGCTAATACCAAACTTGCACAGGGTTGGAAGAATTTACCAGAGTGCACTTAAATTCACAGTGTAAAAGAGTAGCCTCTTTGGAGAAGAGAAACCTTTGCACTAAGCCAAACTTGCCCAAGATTTCAGGTATCCAAGAACAAAGCCCTTTAGAAATAAGTTCAGAAAGCTAACCAATGCCTTTAAACTATGGATATTTTGCTGACATTGCAATAATGACAACTGAATTCCCCCTGAAATCTCAACAAAAGACTATCAATAACATTTTCAAGCAAGTCAGCTCCCATCCTCCTCCCGTTATCCACTATAATCTTTTACACAAGCACAAATGGTATGTTTCAGTGTAAACATTTTCCAAAGACCATGGAAGCAAAGTAAGTGACCCCATTGACCAATGTGAACAGACAGCTACCCCACCTGCATGCTTTTTGTACGAGGAGACTATATTAAGAATACACAGACAACCAATCTGTATCTGAGTCCTAGGGTCACTTATATGACGTTGACGCTAACAGGGTAACTGCCTTTGCCTGAATCAACTGGCTTACAAATTGCACCCATGATTTTAGCAAATGTTTACACACACATTGTATGCAAATGTAAAGAACCTGAATGAACTTCACCATCAAGATTTTCAAGTGCAAATATACAGTCTCCCTTAGTTCTGCTCTTTATATATTATAACTAAATAACAAATGAACAAAAAACCAAAACAAAACAAAGAGTTGATTTCCCCCCCCAATCTCCTGCTTGCACACACTCTAAAATCAAAGATTAAATATCAATTTAAGTGTTCACAAAAAAATGAACTACTTAAATGAATCATGGCTTAAAACAAGCAACACTGAATCTATTCCTCCATTAAAGAGGACTGAAAGTCCCTGCATAGAAAAAAAAAAAGCAGCAAATAAATGTTAGAAGTACTATTAGTTAAGACATCAGACAAAAATATATCAGATTCCTGACTTGCTATTTTTGTCTTCACATAACAACTCCATTTGGATGTTCAAAAGTCAGTGTGCTCCAAAACAAAATATTGCTTTCTACTTGCTGTGTGGTATGAATAAAGCAAAGACTTTGTCTCAAAAATAAATATTAGTGACGTATACAGACTGCTAATTGTTTTTCGTTTGTTCTGATGATCCATAATTGCTCCAAATTAAGCACAGCTGAAGACTGTTTTTAGGTGCATCCAAACACGGGGTTGTTTCTATAACCTAACAGCACTTTGACGTTCGCCTTGCTGAATTCTTCACTGCTGAAGGAGAATCAGTCTTCAGTTTACAGCAAAAAATAAAACAAGGCGGTTATGAAGATCATGTAACACAGAGCTCGGAAGCCCACAGTGGAGGTTTACTGCAATATGGCAGTCTGCTTCTGGTTGCTTGAGCACAAGCAGCTGCTGCAGCCGTTGCTTCCTCCTCTTCTGTGTCTCCCTTCACCTCTGTGGAACTTTCCGTTTCTTGGAATGGATTCTCTAGGAGTTTCAATACATTTCTTACCTAGAGAAGAAACATAATATGGTTAAGAGAATTTAGAAAACGAAGGCAAAATGATGTAGAAAAGAACCTCAAGCCAAGTAATGATCAAGTATATTGTATTTAACACACAAATTCCAGACATGCCAAATATGAAATGGATGAACAATATCTATATAAATAAACTGAAAGTAGTACCTGGCTGAATTTGTATCTGCATGGAACTCAAGCTCAAATAACTTAAAAGCACATCTTAAGTACAAACTCTTTTGTCATACTTCTCAGAATACATTAATTCACCCTTACTCAGCATGTAACAATCCACATACTGAACTCCACAGATGAAAGCAAAGGCTTTTAAAAGATACCATTCAGCAGTAAGGAAGTTAATCCCCAGCCATCTTCCGAGATAAAACCTTCATCTTCACTGTCTTCAGAATGGCTAAGTGACCTGTCTTAGGATCAGGTTCAGACTCAGATTTTCAGTTCCTTTCTTTGCTCTGCAGCCATTAAAACCACAGCTCACTCACAAATAAGGCCAATTCCCAATCCCCTTACAAACATGCTAGAATGAATCTCACCTAGCATAACATTCAGCAGCAGCACCACCACCACAAATCCAAGCAAACCTAAATAGATATTACGGAGTAATCTTACCTCTGAGAAATCCCCATTTTCAGCTGCTTCTATGGCATTCTGGGCAATATAATTTCTCAAGATATATTTTGGATTGTTGGAATTCATAACCTTCACACGATCAGTATTCCAGGCATCAGCATCACTAATGCCTTCTATTTCTTTTTGTAAACGGACTCTGAAATTAAACAAGTAGAAACAACTGGTTTGGTTCAAGAATCACATGTAGAAGTCTCCCTGTTTCCTTGTCTTGAGATCTGTAGTTTGCAGTTCTTAAGTATTACATCACCTATAATCCTCTCAGTTTATAAAACTCAGCACAACAACAAAATAAAAAACGCCACTTCCTGTATCATTCGAAAGCAGCATTACAGTCTATCAGCAGGTCATGATGATGCTTGAGCAAGTGGCGCACACACTGCAGATTCCCCAAAGAGACATCGAGACACCTTGCCCCACACTGGTGATCTGTTTGGCACTGCTCTGCAAAAGCCTTCACATTGAAAACTTGGCTTTTAAGTATTTCTGTGCTTGTTTATTGGTTAAAATGTTTAATGTTCTGATAAAATAAAAAGGACTTGATGCAGCTAAGACTACCCGATCTGCCAGCCAGAAGGTATACTTGCTAAAATTCTCAGACCCATAGGAAAATAAGATCACAGCCAACCAGGTGAGGAAAGAAGTTTTGCTGTGTAGATTAGGTTAGAAACAACTGATGGTCTTCAAGACATTTTCTGAATAGAAAGTCTCCAGCTAACATTGAGCTCTTAAGCTTCTAATTTATACTTGATAAAATAGTCTGAACTTCTTTTGACTTCTTTTACAGTTACTCTTTGATTGAGAATACTTCTATTTGCTTTCTATATTAGTATATATACTTTTTTTCCTTTCAGAAAGAAAAAATGTGAAAGAGTAAGACATTTGGGTCAGCCAGTTCTAGTTACTGAGCACTTAATAGCTCACAATTGAGATCAGGCTCCTGTGAGAATCAAGACCAACATTCTCAAAGTGCTTTTAATATCAACTTAATGCTAATTCTTTTCTATACTGCCCCCCTGTCCCAAAATATAGAAAAAAACACCACAAAAATATGCAGATGTCCTTTAACTTTTACACGTACTCATTTAGAGTAGTTAATGGCATTCTCAGTTGCCTGCACCCCACTGCTCCTCAGTTTATATACTTTCAGACAGCGTGTTTTTTGAGACATATACATTGTTATCAAACAAAATGCACAGCAAACATACTGCTAAGAATACTGGTAAACCTTACTTGTATTTTTCCAGCCATTCTGTCCAGTGTTTTTTATTTCTGCTGAGTAAATCAGCTGCTGTTAACTGCTCCAGTTTAGTGAATTGTTCAATGCGCTCTAATTCTTTATTTATATTAGCTTTTGTTCCAATTAGTGCAAACAGCTGAGGATTAGACTGAGCCAACATTAGCATCATTGACAGTTGTCTGGGAACAAGAGGAAAGAACACATTAAAGTTGAGCTGCCTGTCAAGAATCATCATTTTGCAACCATAAAGTAGATAAACATTCACAATAACCTGTGATTTCAATGGATAAGTTAAATACCAGCACTTCATAATTCACAAATCTATAACAAATTATGCTTGTTTTACTGTTCCCTCCCCCTTACTCAGTGTTTAATTCACAATCCTGGGATATGCAAAGCACAGTCAGTAGATCTGAAACTCTACCAATTGGATTTAGATGCACAATTCTCATCAAAACACCCTAATCTGAAAGGAATTTGGAATAAGGAATTTGACCTTTCACCTTGGTACCACGATACCAGAGAATGCATACTTTTTCTTTAATGTATTTTTCTAACATTAATACTGTAACAGCATTCAGAATATGTATACATCACCCACTAATCTCACCAATACTAAGAAAAACAAATTAAATGAGGTATCTTTCCCCATATAAATCACAAGACAAGTTTTTCTCGTTATTTACTTATTTAACTAACCTAAATTGGTTCAGGGAGGGTCAGGCTGGGTGTTAGGGAAAGGTTCTGCACCCAGAGGGTGGTCATGCACTGGGACAGGCTGCCCGGGGCAGTGGTCATGGCACCGAGCCTGCTGGAGTGTGAGAAGCATTTGGACAAAGCTCTCAGACTCATTGTCTGATTTTTGGGTGGCTTTGTGTAGAGCCAGGATTTGGACTCCATGATCCTTCCAGCTCAGGATATTTTGTGATTACTTACTCCCTGGCATACAGCACAACTAATTATATCCAAATCGTATTTTCCTACTTTTACTAAGCAGAGATAAGCTGAGTGCTTTGATTTTTTTTCAGTTACACAAAGTATTATCCAAATGTGATCCATGCATCTTACACACGCACGTCCATGATTCCCAAGTGTTGTGATAAAAGTCTGTTGTGCATTCAGTTTAATGTAGTACTGTGCCCCCCGCCCCAAAGTTTTACCTCTGTATCACATGATTTGTGGCTAATAAATAGAGGAAGAAAAAAAAAAGGACAAACTTACAGGGTCAAACACATTCTCCATTTTCCACTGCTCCAAAAAGCAGAAAACTGCTGCAACTGCTTTTATAGGGCAGCAGTTGAAAAACATCTCCTATTTTAACACACTCAGAACAGCTGAGCTGCAGAACATGAAACAGGACATGGACAGTACCAAACAGGTTGCAGAGTCTAAAGTGCTTGTTTCAGTTATACTTGGCTCAGAGTTCTGGTGGCTGAAAGTGATTATTGGCCAACCATACACAGGACAGTACTCTGGCAGCACACAGGAATCATTATTGTTTAAACCCATTTCTTCTATAAAATATTTCTGTATTACTTCACTATCTGGCACTCTCTCATTGGCTCAGTCAGCAGGGAAAGGGGAGAAAAAGAATTTACGTTGCAGTAGATGTATCTGTTTAACAGTGAAATTCCCAAATTTAATATTACTAGAAAAAAGAATATTACAGTTTATTATAGTAATGATGAAACTTAAAGCACTGGACAAAGTATTTAGGTAAACAACAGTATTACCTTGGATCCATCTGAGGCTTGAAAGCAACTTTCAGTTCTTCCATAGAAGCACACTGACTTGCAAGCTTTTCTAAGAAATGTTCCAGTCTTGAAGGATCAAAATCTACTGAGAATGAACTCAGCAAGTAGAAAATATTTGTGAAGTCTCCGCCTGAAAGAGGGAATTCTGTGGGTAATGGAACTGACAAATGGGCAGGAACACAGGTACCACAATTCCTTCCTAACCCCCCGCAGCAGTGTGGGTAGCCAGGGTAGAGAGACAAATATATTGGTCCCTCAGCGAGGGTGCAAATACGACACAGGGGGTGCCCTGTAAAAAGGCAACAACTGCCACACAGGTCACAAGAATGCAATTATCCTTCGGTCTTTTGATCTCTCAGATGACAGTGTAGTCATGCAAGGCTGCTTTCTTGTAAGGTCAGGGTGAAAATTACAACTTGGTGCAGTTATAAGGTACTTATGGTCTATGAAATAATAACCTAATGCAACCTTCACCAACCTGTGAGATGCATGGTTTCGAGAAGTTCAGACACCAGCTTATTATCTTCTTCTAATTCCAACCGAATGAGGCCTAGTTTCTTCCTCATCTTCTGCAAATAATGTTTTTCAAATTCCGCATCGTATTCCTCTTCCAGGATGAGTTCGCTGATTTCCAGGGGCAGCTCTGGAACTAAGGCTTCAGCGAGCTTCCCTAGATTCCACTTGCAAATCTCTGGCTGCTTGTTGTAAGCATAGCGCCCTGTATTATCAGAACCATTGCAAATGTGGTCGGGGTCATATCTACAAACGAAGAAATAGTTAGCATTCCTCTTGTTATCTGGACACGAATACCGTGTGAAGCCCTCTAGGAGGCTAACAAGCCCTGAAAGGGAACAGTCCTCCTTGGACAGGAGGAACCCCACATGCTACAAGACCACTCTAACAGAGGTGTTGTCAACACGGTTATATTTCAAGGTTGAAAAGAATTACAGGGCAAATAGGACTAGCTTAACCTACTTTGCTGTAAAGTGGGTCCATAAATCTACTTGACAGCTAAGGTATTAAAGCAATAGCGAACATCAGCAGGATTGTTCTATACAGCAAATTGATATACACATTTTGAACACTGTCCACAGGCCACACTGACCTGTCCATAAACCCAAAAGGGCCATAGTCAATAGTTAGTCCAACTATGCTCATATTATCTGTATTCAGCACGCCATGGCAAAAGCCAACACACTGCCACTCAGCAACCAGTCTTGCTGTCCGTTTCGTTATCTAAAAGAAAAAACATTTGCATTTTTCAACACAAGGTATAAACATTCGTACATTTACACACATTTGCTAGTCCGAATGAATTTTTCTACTGTGGGAACTGATGGGAGCAAACTCTGGCAGTAAGCCATATACACAAATATCTTGAAGACAGCTTGCCTCTCTCCTCCATTTATCAACTGCCTGGTTCCTCAATCTCCCATTTCTGTTTATTCCCTCTTTTACCTTCCACGCTTAACTTGAAAGTCAGTTGTAGTGCTTCAAAACACACTGGAGACAGAACACAAAAATATGGTAAACCAACATCAGACTTGTGCACTTTTCTTGTCATCATGCAACGACATTCTTGTGCTTGCTACTTATTTTAAAGACCCTTTAACTACAGATAGAACACAGAAAAAATCAGAGAAATAAAATTAAGAACTATGTGTGACAAAACTCAGTGTAAAGTCAGCCTGCTGCTTTACTTCATACGTAGGAGTGATTTACAAAAAGGTAGGCTGTTCAGACAAAAATGATCCTTTGCTAACAAACTTCAGGCCTGATAAGCACTTACTTTAATCTGCCAGGAGTAGGAAAAAACTAAGAGCTCACCTTTTAGCTAAATACATACTCCAAGAATGGCAATTTTATTGAAATCTAATTCTTCACTGAATGCATGCTTTACCAGAGCTTTCCAGTTCCTTAACTGAGTGTTATCTTCTGTGGGAGCCTCAGCTGTAATCAGTACATGTGCTCCAATTGTCAAAAAATAAGAGTCATATTTTAAAGTTAATTAATTTAGCCCATTTGTCAAATGCAACTAGACATGCCCTACGAAATCTAAAATTCAGGAAGCTAATCTGGTTTTTAAGTAAATCTGGGTATTTCCATATACCTTACTGAACTGCCACAAACAATTTTATGTAAAGCTAGGGTCTTTAAATCAAACTGTTGTCATAGCTGAAATCACTTATCTTTCAATATAGCTATCAACACAGAAATTTAAAGTGAGTATTCTCTCCAGACTGTGGTGCGAGTGCATTTTATTAAGGTTTAAAAATGATCTTGTTAACAAAGGAAATGTTAGTTTTATGCATCTGTGTCCAAACCCGTAATTCTTCCACTTTAAAAAAAAAAAAGTGCAGTCAGATGAAGAAGGAAAATCAGAAAATTCTTGGTGTGGGGTAATCTAACAGGTAGTAAAAACTGGAAGCGATTGTTAGAACAGGAGTTTTTGGTTCACTTTGAGATCTCAGGCTTCTACTTTTTCCAATATGAGGTACTCTGCACATTTCTCCTGAATTCTGCTTCACTGGAGAGTTGGAAGTCAGGTGCCAGAAGGCACTCCAAGTCACAACATGTGTACAAAACTGATTATAAACCAGTAAGGGAGACACACCCTATGTGATGGCGCTCTGCCAGAAAGATAAAATTTAGGAAAAAGAAAAAACAGGCTGCCACAGATGGGATAAAAGCATTCCAGCAGTAAAGCAATTTGTGACTGCTGGATGTCTTTCTATGAAAGCATCACACCGCCAACATTCTGGTCAAAAGAAATGCGGCTAACGAGAGCACCTGAAAGCAATTAAAGCTTGGATGCCACTCAAAGATGGGTATATTGATTAGAGACAGCTTTGTGTTCACTTTGACCTTCAGCTTTTTTTAATCACATTTTTCTACTGCTAGCCATGCTAGAAAACAAGTATGGTATATATAAACAAGAGCACTCTTAAAAAAAACACGTTCATGCAAGTTTAAACAGCATCTACAAGTTATTTTAAAAGTATAGATAATGGTGGTTATTTTCTGGTCAGCACTGCCAAATGCAATCACTTGTACTTTTTTTCTCCTGTTCTTCCACAGTATAAAACAAAAAGATAAAAGCATGGTAGGGAAGGGACAGCACTACCCTGCTATTGAAAAAGACACCAGTGTTTGGAAAATCAGGTGAGGCACTGTGCAGATGGAGATGGCTATGGAAAGTCTCCACTTACGGAGACAAAACATGACAATACAATGCTGGGACAGACCCAGACTGGGGGAGCACAACAAAAAAGACAAGAGACTGAGGAAAGTAAGGAAAGCATGCCAAGATGAGGGCAAGAAATCAGTAGTAACTGGGCCAGGGAAAGAAGTTAGAGGCAGAAAGAGGTGGGACTGACTTGTGACAGTGAGATACAAGGGGATCTGGAGGGAAAATGATCTTTGTTCACACACACTCCTGCAAAGATCCTGAAGTCCCATGTGTTTTTTTCCTGCTGTCAGAAAATGAATGTGCTAACAGCTACAGAGCAGTACATGGTTGGTGACAATCTGCAGTCATCATTGACTTCATTAATTCACAAGTGAGAGGTCTGTCAGCAAAGTTAACCTCGTCAGCACCCAAAGGTGAACTAAGCAACTGCTTGCTTTTTAAAAACTAATGCAATTATGCACAAACTCAAAGCTCACACAAGTTAGAGAAAGCCAGATTTTAAGCCTGCCTTTCATCTCCTCATTGCTCTGTTATGAACATGCATCACGGTGCTGTCACTCTCTAACAGAGCATTTCAGATATCAAAGCACCACAACTGTTTTGACTTAGACTAGTCAGGTATGTTAGACTGCTACAAGTACTCAATAAGCAGAATTATTACAAGTATCACCTTCCTATTTGGATAGTAATATTTGAACTTCAGGTGAGCTTTTGACTTCAGGTGAAGTTTTATAAATGGTTCTCCAGTAACCGTTAACATCTAAATGTATGCATTAATTGAAAATGCTTCAAAACCATTTCTGAGGAACCATCCAGCCTCTCCTCTGGGCACAACAGAATCACCCATCACTACACCACTTCTGAGATACATTTATCTCACTTGACCTTGCTGTTCCCCAAGCTGGAGGTTTTGCAACTTCACCAGGAAAGCCGTCTCACTGCTTGACTGCCTTTAAACATTCAAATTTTGAAATATGAAGTTAAAGTGACATGCAGTCAGCATTTCTGTCTATAATTTGGAAAATAAGAGACAGGAAGTGACCCAACATCCTCAGGGTTTTACAAGACAAAAACCTCAGTACCATTAATTCATCACCTGACAGTCAGGGCTAGGATTCCCCCTGGCATCCTAAAATGCTCTTAGCAAAATGAAAAAGTTTTGGGAAGCTCACTGAGAGCCAAGAAATCATGCCTTACTATTAAAAAGGTAAATGATTAACTGTTTTTATCAGTTTGGTCAATATCAGCACTGCTTTCATCAATAAATACTTGTATTAAGAGTGTTTTTTCCTAAGAAAACCCCAGTGCCTGAGATCATTTTCTGAGTTTTTAAACAAAGAGGAATTTTTGAAGAGCAACTTATCTTTCTTACCTCTTTGAAGAAAGCAGCATTCCTCTGAATATTGTTGTCTGGATAAGCCTCCTGGATTTCCGGATAGAAAGTGCCGATCACATAATCAAGCATTTGTATTCGAATATCATTTCTGTTGACGCTAGGACCCTTGCGTCCTGTATATTCATCAGTAGGTTTAAAAATTTCAAAAGAACCAAATCTGTTGAAATAACAAAAACATGTTTTTAGTGTTACTTCTTAGTATTATTTGATCTTATTAGCTTCATCTGATATTAAACATAGTAAAAAATTTACTGTCATTGCAATATCATCTTCAGGGTTTAAGACTAATTCTTCAACAGATTGTGAGAAAAGACCTGAAGCATTCTCACTGAAACTAAGGAAACAAAGTTACTCGGTGCAAGGAAGCAGATACATCCACATGTAAACACACAGACAGATTAAGACCCTAGCTAGTACTGAAGACCAGATCGTTAGAAGTTTCTTAAAACTGTTTATATAGAAAAATCCTTATCCTGAGTGAATACACAGAAACATGACTTAAAATACTAAACTTCACATCACGTACATATGATGCATTTTTCCACACACACGTGCACAGACATACATGCATTGATGTGTATTCCTTATGCCTCACTTTTCCCTAGCATGATGTTACCTCCCAAGGAACAACACACCATCCCAAAGTCCTGCTGTGCATTGGAGCAGGAACTCTGCACACATCTCAGGCAAAGGAAGTACTGTCTTAAGGCTTTTACAAGATACCCCCAAACCTGGGAAGTACTGTATCATTACAATAGCTTGTAAAGTAAGGGTAGAACTATAACCCACCAACACAACCAACATCTAAAAAAAAAATCCCTTACATCTACATATTCCTCACAGGTATAAACATGAAAAATCTCTTTCGAGATCTGCAGAACTTTATATGACACTCACACCCCCAGTCCCTAGTTAATGTTTACCTGCCAGTGTGCACACATCTCATCCACTGGGCTAAAGCAGCAGCTTTCCACAAACTTACAAAAAAGTTACAAGATTCAACAACAAGAAACATGCAGGTACTGCTGTTATAGAAATACACTTAAAATTATATTTTTGTGCTTGACTTTAGAAGAATAGTAAAAAATAAAATAAAAAGTAGGCTTCTTTCTACCTTAGGAACGTAGAAGCTATTCTCAGAACAACTGTACACTTTTCTTTTTTTGGATTTCCATCATAAAATATGTCACGAACAACTTCCGAGTCAGATGTCACGCAGGTTCCAGCCCTCGTTGTCGGTATTCCTAGGTGAAACATGGCCTCACTACACAGGAACTCTCGTATGCTTGACCTCAGGACTTTACGACCATCGGCTTGCCTGCAGCAAAGAGATAGTGACAGGACTCAAGTCTTCTGGCTACAAAGGAAGGAGGGCTCCTGCTTCCCCCTTAGCCATGGAGAAACAAGAACTAAGATGTTAAGTGCTCTGCCTGTAGCAAAGTAGTGGCAGATATGTGATGAAAAACAGATCCTCAGATCCTTAGAGATCTCTGAGGATCTCTAAGAGTTCAGATTTGATAAATACACTAGCTATGAGGACCACATATACCAGAAGAAGAATTTTCTCATTACAGATATCCCTTCTAATTGTTAACTTTGTTTTTATACATGCAGTAGAGACTTCCCAAAACTTAATAAATTCTGGACGAATATATTGTGTCCTACAGTATATAAAGTTATGGATATATTATATAACACATCACTAAAGTAAATTCAGACCAAAACTGCCTTTCAACGCTAGTAAGCTTTAAAAAAAATCATTTTTTGTAGTATTTACCCAATACTTTGGCAGTCCTTAACTGGTACGCTGCAGAAATTAAACAAGCACTGCAGCTGTCCACTAACAAAACCCTGTTTTTTATTGATCACGGTGCAAGAAGAGCAAAGCAGAAAGCAACCAGTGAAACAAGTGACTTACAAAGTTCACATCATAGTTTCCTATTAATAAAGCGGCTACCACTGGGCCTTTTAAACACTGTTCTTTGGGCTTTTTGGATGAAACGTCTAGGAAAGGATACAGCCCACTCGGGCCACCTCAGGAGGCGCAGCGTGAGAGCGGACACTTTATGCTCGCACCGCACCGTGAGTTTTCGCTGAGTTTTGCTTAGGAAACCCTCCTCCCGCATCATTTCGAGACGCAGAAGGGCCGGGAGCAGCCCCAGCCCCTTTCTACCCAGGTCTGCGCACCCCCAGAAGCAGCCGGGGCTCCTCTTACCGGGAGAAGGGGGTGAGGCCGGCGCCCTTCAGCTGCATCTCCCAGCGGCCGCCCCGCGGGCCCAGCACCTCGCCCAGGTACATGGCGGCGCCGTCGCCCAGCTGCCCGGCGAAGCTGCCGAACTGGTGGCCGCAGTAGCAGTGTGCGGCCGGCTCCGAGCCCGGCAGCAGGCGGTTGCCGCTGAAGTACAGCGCCGCCTCGGCCTCCTCCCGCTCCTCCACCTCGGCGGCTTCCAGCCCCAGCAGCGCCAGCGCCGGCAGCGACATGGCCACCAGCCGCGGGTTGCGCAGCGGCGTGGGGCGCACCCGGCAGAAGCAGGCGCCGGGCACGGCCCGCGGGGCAGTGTCCTCGGAGGGCTCCACGGGCAGCGAGCGCAGCGCCAGGTTATCGAAGCGCAGCGCTCCCAGCCAGCCCCCAGCACCACCACCGCCGCTAGCCCCCGACTCCGCTGCTGCTCCAGCGCCGTGCTCGGGGCTGCCCGGCCGTGCCGAGGACGCCGCGGGGTGCTGCATGGCGGCGCCGAAACGCCGAAGAGACGCCGGGACGAGCGACGGCAACGAGCGATTCCCCCCGGCGCGCAGCGACGCCGCCATTCGGCGCCCCCCGCCCACGGGGCGGGGCCGCCGCCATTTTGCGCCTCCCCAACGGGGCGGGGCCGCCGCCATTTTGCACCTCCCCCCTGCGGGGAGCACCGCCCGCTGCGCCTGAGTGGCGCGCGGTTCGTATTGCTGTAAAAGTCGGTCAAACAAAATACCAGTTCTTGGAAAGACAAAGGCTTTTTCAGAAGACTCAGTTTTTAGGGAGCAGACATTCTTTAGAAAGCAGGCGTTCTTTAATTGCGGCGTTGGACGCATAGGGGGTCACTGCACCTAGTGCGTGTGCCGAATTGCCCAGTCTCCAGGGGTCAATTATACAGTCAAAACATACGTGTGCGTTCGTTTTCCAAAAATAAAAAATAGCATATCCACGCTATTTCCCAGAACTCGTTTAAGTAAGCATGCGTGTTAGTTTCTACAGGTTTTTCCCATGGGGGTGTTTAAGGAGAGGTTGGACGTGGTGCTAAGGGACATGGTTCAGTGGGTGACACTGGTGGTAGGGGGACGGTTGGACCAGATGAACTTGAAGGTCTTTTCCAACATTAATGAGTCTCTCATAGTCAATTTATGCATGCGTGCTAAGCTAGGTCATACACACATCGAAGGACTTGCATACCACGAGTTCCTCACCTATCTTTTCAGACACATCCTCCAGCCTCGGGACATCATTTACACCCAGAGAGCTTCTAAACTTCTTTTTAACTAAACACTGTAAAGGTTTGGCCTCTCTGTTCATAAAACATCCCAGGTTTGGCTCCGTTATTCTACCACGGCGAAACCCACCCCTCAGTCTGGGGGGGCGCAGCGAGGGCGGGCGGCCGGCCCCGGGGGAGGCGCTGGGGGTGGTGCTGAGGCGGCTGTGCCCCGGCACCGGCACCGCCACTCCCCGGGGGTACAAAGAGCCGAGGTGCGGGGCCCGGAGCCGCCATCTGCTGGTGGAGGAAGAGGAGGAGGAGAGGAGGAGGACGAGGGGGTGCTGGGGACCGCTGTGTGGTGAGTGAGCGAGGGGCGGTGTTGGTTGTGTCCGGGGGTTTCCTCGCAGTGCTGCAGGCAGGCAGCGCCCTGCCCTGTCCCATCCCATCCCATCCCATCCTGTTCTGTCCTGTCCCATCCCATCCTGTCCTGTCCTGTCCCAAGTGAGGGCTGCAGCAGGCCGGTGACCCCGAGATGTCGTGGCTAACGAGGGTGACGAAGTCGAAGGAGAAGCCGGAGTCGGAGAGCTCTCAGGCTCTGGAGGAGAGGGGGCTGCTGGAGCAGGCAATGCTGGAGCACGGGCGGGATCCTTGGGATCCCAAAATGGTAAGCCAGGATCCCACCCTCCAAGCTGCCGAAAGGCACTGGCTAAGCTACATTGCCGTGAATCATCCTAAAGGAGAGAAGAAGTGCTCGGCCCTGCAGTGGCTGCTGTTCGATCTGGCCAGTGTCTTGCAAGCCACGGTGGAAGAGAAGGAGCAATGCATAAAGAGCCTGCAGAACAACCTGCAGCTGGCCCAGAACGAAATCCTGGCGCTGCGCTGTGATAAAGCCCTGCTAAGCGAGCAGGCCGAGCAAGTCAGAAAAATAAAAGAAGAACTCCGGGCAGAGAGTGCCGATAACGCCCGGTTAAGAAAGAAAGTGCAGTGTTTGGGTAAGCTGCTATCCCTCGGGAAAGGCTTGGACCAGAGGAAGGTAGCGGCTCTGAGCGAGACAAATGGCAACCTGGAGATGTTGGATGGGGAGAATGTGGAGAACCAGGAAAACTCTGCGGGGCAAGGGGTGGGAGCCAGAAAAATAAAGCCGGAGGAGGGAGATGGAAACCAGGGAGCGGGGGATGTGTCCAGAAAAGAGAAAGTTTGGAAGAAACAGAGGGAGGGGTGGCCTGTGTGGGTTAACCGAATTTGGGCTTTAGAACAGCACACACCTTTCACGTACGAGGCGGCGAAGCGGGTGGTGACAGCCATAGGGCTGCCCTGGCCCAAGGTGGGGGCGATCATCAGAGCCTTGCCCCCCGAAGAGGCCCTGGGGGGAGAGATCCTAAGGCTGGTGATTAGAAATCTGGGAGAATATGAGCCTCTCAAGGATAACATGGAAGGGGCGCCCTGGGCAGACGTCCAGGAGGTGTCAGCCTACGTGTGTGGGAATGTGGTGCTCCGGGTGCTAAAGCAGCAGGAGAAGCCGGTGACCGCCGACTTCGACATCCACGGGGTGAATGTGGAGCAGGCAGACATAGGGGTGCTGGCCTGCCGCGCTCCGGAGCTGCATAAGGGGTTTTTCATCAGCTTGGGGTCTACTTTGATCGGCCGTCCCCTCCACGAGTGCATGGACACGTTGGAGAACTTGGGGACCCTGATGGGAGCGGAGGGCAAAGAGAAGGCAAAGAAGAACGCGGTGGGGGTAAAGACAAGGACGTACATCCCTAGAGGGATAATTTGGAAGTATTTAATAAATCAGGGAGTGAACGAAAGAGAGCTGGATAGTCAGCCCACAGGGGTTTTGCTTGCCAAAATGAAAAAAATCCTTCAGGAAAAGGGGATGAAACAAGAGGAGATCTGGGAAAAACTGAAGCAAACGAAGCTGTCACCTCCTCCTCCTGTCCCAAAGAGAAAACTATACCCGTTGGTGAGGGACCTTAAAGACTAGGGGTCCCAGCCCCTGGTGTCAGTGGGATTAACCTCCACCTCGCTGACTTGGTATTCAGGGGGAAGAGGCTGTGTGGAGGTGCGGTGTCTGTTGAAGGGGAATGGGAGGTTACAAACACTTTCTTAGTTGATACGGGATCAGCATTAGTAGATTGATGGGGTCCCCCGCTCCTGGGTAAATCAAGCTGGATGTTGGCAGTAGGAGGGGGGAAAATGTGGGGGGGACAAGAAGTAGAAGTGAATAAGGGAGGATAAACTGGATGGACAGATAATCCTGGTAAAAGTGGGGGGGGAAACACTTTAGGAAGGAATTTCCTGTCTTAGTTCATGGACATCTGTCCAAGGGAAAACTTACTGTACTGCTGCTTCAGAAGATGAAAAGGTGACGTGGGTCGTGAAGTACTGGCATGGAAGTCAAAACAAAATTAGAGGTGATAGGTGAAGTTGTTCCAGCTGGAGACCCCCGCTTCCACTCCCAGTACAGTGCAGAAGCTCAGAAGGGTCGCAAGGAGGCTCAGGAGGCAGAACGAAGGTGGAAGAGAGTGGGATTATAAAATCCCGATTTTCATGATCCCTGTAGAAATCCAGGGACGTGGGGTATGTGGACGGTGGAACCCCCTTGCACTGAGTTGTAAGTTTGTGTTGGGTTCTGTCTTTTACCCCGGAAAAGGGGAATGTTTGAACAGTGACAAACTGATTGTGTGGGCCCCTTAGAGAGGTGAAGGAGGGGGTTGTGTCTGTTTGTGTTTGCTGCCACTGATGCAGCAAGAGGGGTAGAGGCCGTGGCAGTCTGTGCAGCTGCTGCTAATACCGGTTTGGTGTCTGTGTGAAATACTGAACATGCTTGGTCCTCCGTTCTTAATTTGGAAGCCACTTGATGGATGCACCAGTACAGAGTTTCCTTGTAGGGATGCGGCTGTATTGGTTAAATATTTCCTGCTACCTGCAGTCCTTTGGGATGGTGGGAAGAGCTGACAGCTCCACCCAGGTGAGACTGCAGCTAATGGACAAAGGAGGAGGGCTGAGGTGGGATGAAGTGCTATGTGTGTGCTGGGCCGTGTGAGCAAAGAATGTGCCAGGTACCGGTGATGGCCCTTGTGAGCTGGTATATGGCTGTGGCCCAGAAATGGAAAAAATGGGACAGGAAATGGGCTGAACAGTCGTGTGCCTCAAACACCAACTCGATCCTGGAGCAGTCAGCTCAGCAGAGCATGGACTCAGGCAGCTCCCTGGAGTTACACAGCTCGTATGCCCATATAAAAACCCACAACAATCAAACCCCACTGGGAAATGTGGTCCAAGGCACACCCCGTGTACCAAGGGGAAGGCCTAGAGAAAATTCAGGGGTAATTGTGGCTCTGTTCTGGGGAAACACAGTACTAACTGGAAACAAAGCAAGAAGTTTCCTGGGTGGATGGGACTTGCTGCCAAGGAATCAAAGAGAATGTTTTTAACTAACTAACAAGGGAGATTGAATTTTTTTCAGAGACACAGATGTTGCTGCGGGATTGATCACAGGTGTGGAGCACGGACAGCCTCTGCAAGGACCATCTTCTTCAAGGTGCCCATCATCGGTTTAAGGAGCATCACAAAAACCATTAAAACCATCTTCTAGGTGTAAGAGCAATAGTTTGGACATGGAACATCACTGCTGTTAATAACTTTAATTCCTTTCATGAAAGATGTCAAAGGAATCTTAATAGACCTTGAGACCCTGAGACAATGGGAATGCTTGGTTTCTCAGTAATCATTTGTTAGCAGGCCACTTACTTTTGGCCACTGAGCATATCCAAAGCTAAAACCACACTGTCCATAGGTAACCACAAATTTTAGTTTGAGAAGATAAAGTGAAATGGGCCAAAATTAATATTAATCCTGTAACTTGGGGAAAGAATTAGGGAATTGACATGTGAGGCATGCACAGTTCTAGAGTACATCCAGGGTGTTACCCATATAAATGTAGGTTGTGCCTCTCGTGGTGGTGGAGTCTCCATGCTTGGAGATGCTCAAAAGCCATCTGGAGATGGTCCTGGACAACTGGCCCTGCTTGAGCAGGGGCGTTGAGCAGGATGACCTCTAGAGGACCTTTCCAACCTCAGCCCTTCTGTGATTCATTGTATAGAACTAGTGGGAGTTTTGAATCATGTGCAAGGTAAATTGTATACAAGGTTGTTCTGCCTGGAGAAGGGAAGGTGCTGGGGAGACCTTACTACAGCCTTCCGATAGCTAAAGGGAAGGATTGAGGGACGTCTTGCTGAGCAGTGACAGGACAAGGGGCAATGGCTTTAAACTGAAAGAGGGTAGATTGAGATAAAAGGAAGAGATTCTTTACTATGAGTGCAATGAGGCACTGGAACAGGTCGCCCAGAGAAGCTGTGGGTGCCCTGGATGTGTTCAAAGTCAGGTTGGATGGGGCTTTGGGCAGCCTGGTCTAGTGGGAGGTGTCCCTGCCCGTGGCAGCAGGGTTGGGCTGGGTGGTGGCTGAAGGTCCCTTCCGACCCAAACCATTCTATGATTCTGAACTGGTGACAAACTTCAGGCCACTGTCTGATGCACCAACAGTGGTAATTGCCTGCGATGGCCAAATTTGGCACGTGGTAAAAGCAGCTACCAAGTTTAAAATAAAACAGCAACAAACTGAGGGATTGAATAGCATCTCCATCCATCTATTGCACTCCAGCTCAGCTGTTAGCTACTGAAAGAACAAATAGGTGGTCAGATGCCTCTGTAATGGTTTAGCTCCTTTCTATGAAATGTATGCACTACTTTTGTGCAATCTGCTGGGGACCACGGGAGAGTATTTTTGTGTGTCGGTGGAGCAAGTCAGCATGGGAACTCCCGTGGTAATTGGTAAGAGGGCAGGTTGTGGATGTGTTGCCTCACCTCTAGTGGGACAGAGGGAGGATAACGCAACACCTGTGGCTGCAGTAGAGCAGGGGTGAGGTGTCGCACTTGTCTCCGTGCCTGGTGGTGTGTACTGACATTCTGTTCTCAAAAGCTGGGTTCTGTTCCAGACCAGAGGACTAATGACGTCTGTGAACTGACGGTCCTTGCTGGGATGAGGTACTCGGACAGCAGGACAGCATGCAGAAGGACGCCGGGAAACCGGAGAGCGGACAACAAACTGCAAGTTGAAGGATTACCTTAGAGAATAAGGAACTGTTAGAACCAGAGACTGATAGCAAATTGTTACCTGTACATTATTGGTATGGCATTTGCATGGACAAGTCACCAAAAGCTAATGCTATGCAGCTCGTCATCATAGAATCCTGTACTTGCTATTAGTTACAACAGCATTGTCCTTTATCCTTCTGCACATGCTCTGCTTCTTTCTAAAGGCAGGAGCACACCGACGTGCCCAGGTGAACATCTCACATATGCTGCTGTCCTGACAGCCGTGGTGGTTTCCAGCCGGAAGGGACTGAGCTTACGAGCATCCAGAGTGGTCTGCACGTCCTTGGAGAAGGTCGGTCAGGCCAGGGGGTGACTTGTGAGTGAGAGGTCCCGCTGGAGCATGTGGCCCCGTGCAGTGAGTGGCCTAGGGCAGTGCATGGCCAAAGTGTGGAAACCAGGCACCTCTGCTGCAGCTCTCTGGCGTGTGAGCTGTCAGACAAGGTCTTGCTTGTGCTTGGTCTGAGCTCGCAGAAGGATCAAGTGGAATAGTTGTGTCTAATAATTGAATGAGGATGAACCCAGTGGGAAAACAAAGAGGTGGAGCCATGGGGAGCCAGGCTGCCTGCAGCAGGAATGCCCAGCTGGAGCACTGTGTAAGGCTGTGCTTGCCTCAGTGAGGGTGTCAGGAAAAATACGTTTGGGTGTGGCTGTAGCAAAACCGGGACCAGTGGGGAGAAAGTTGGGGGCAGGCTGTTTATTTAGGAGGGGTTCGGGTGGGGGAGAGGCAATGTGAGGGTGACAAAAAGGTGGAACAGAATGAAGGAGGAGGTGTAAAACCCACCAAAGACGACCAGAGGGCACATGCCGACAGCAGCGGAGTCACCTACAGCTGGTACCAGACCCACGCACTGGAGGACATCTCCTGGGATCACCGCCTGGGCTCTCCATCAGGTCTCGGACATGGTGTGGAGGAGCAGACCTGCACCTCAGGACGTACAGAGCTGCACCCTGTGCTGGCTCCTCGGCTCTGAGATCTACGGCTCGTAGCTGTGCATAGCGGTCTGCGTACCTGTGTAACTGAGCAGTGGTACGTCACTTGGATTACCCATTACTCTTCTGTTTCGCCACTTTCCTTGTAGTGTGTTCATCAATAAACAGTTTGCCTCGGGTATGGTGTGAGTAGCTGCTCTGGAAAGGGATATACAAACCTCGGCACACTCACAGAGTGCAGCCCGTGCCACGAAGTGTGGTGTGCCACAAGCCTTCCTCCAATGCACCTGGGCAGCAGGAGGCCCGGACATCCCAGGAGGCACGTGTAGGGCAGGGTCTGGATGACATGTGCCCAAGAACGCTGCTGTTAGTGGGCCTGCACACCAAAATCTCTCTGTCATAGCCAGGCTGAAATTCCTGGTGATGGAGAGGAACCATCCGGGCTCAAAACCATCGCAAGAAACGAGCTAGGGCGTCTCCCGAGGTTAGGTCTTACACGAGGGGCAAACTAAGCCTATCGACACATGACAAACGAAGCGATCCACAGTAATTCCAAACGTGTAAAACAATGATTTAAAAAAATAATAAGTAGAATTCAAGTGTAACGAGGCAATTCTCTAGCAGTGCGATCCTCGTGTAAACAGGCACGCTCCCTCCTGTGGGTTATCCTCGAGGCCCCCCAGCCCCCTGCGCACAGCGGCTGCGGGCGGCAGAGGGCACTAAGCCATCGCTGTTGTGTTTTTCAGCTCCAGCAGAACGCGAATAAACCCGCAGCGCTAGGAGGTGAGAGACAAAAAAAAAGGCGGGGAGGGACGTGCAGGGAGACGGAGAGAGGAAGGATGCTCGCTGGTAGTGCACGCCTACAAGCCGTCAGCACTCATCCCCTGGTAAATCACAGGATCGTGAGGGTCTGAAAAGCTCTCTGAGATCACCTGGTCCAACCATCCCCCTACCACCAGTGTCACCACCAAACCCCGTCCCCAAGCACCACGTCCAACCTTTCCCTGCACACCCCCAGGGACGGTGACGCCACCACCTCCCTGGGCAACCCGTTCTCGGCCCCAGAGGGCTCCAGGGACTTCACAAAAATTCCCTGGGGCTGGCAGGTGTGTGCATCACTCCCTGCAGAGACACTGCGTGCTAATGGCACACACACTGATCAAAACATCCCCACGAGTTACGGTGCCCAGTTTGTGAAACCAGCTTTGTAGCCAAAAGCAGGGATGTTTTACCAGAGAAAGGATAGTGCTTGGCTGGGAGGAGATGCCACTTACACTGAATTCATGGTCTAAACATAGCCTTTTTTCCTAGAAGTCTGTTTTCACCCACCCACCCCCCCCCAAAAAAAAAAAAAAAAATCTCGATGCATCAGTCCTGAGGATTTAGGATGAGAGAAGTGTGAAAGTGGTAGTGTTTTTTCCCTTTCTCAGCCTAACACCACTAGAGCTTCCCTTGCAGCACTTCCAGGGACAGGCAAAACCCCATAAGAGCAAAAGCGAGCACTGATTGGGGACGCTCCTGGCACAGAGCAGGGCCCAAGGGGAGGTGCTGCCAAGGAAAAGAGCGCACACACCACCAGTTGCCACCCTTCTCCTTCCTGGGAGCGAGGATAAGGCCAGCCCTGTCTTTGCTGCTGTCCTCTCCCCAGAGAAGGGAAGCTTCATTTGCCCCACGTTGGTAAGAGCACAGCACACAGAGGACAAGGGGCACATGTACAGGCACTGGACCCATTTCAGGTTTTTTGAGCTCCTTGTGTTCCGTGTTTGAACTTTTCAGTGCGCATTTCAACAGCCTGAGTTCAGTCCATCAGTCAGAGCTGGGGAAGCGACCCTTTCCCTGCAAATACTTCACTATATGCATCTCGCAATAAAGCCACTCCCAGAACGCTCAAGTCTAAAATTAAAGTTTATTTCAGGCTTAGGAACAGGAAAATGTGTACATGAGATCTTTGAGTTAGGCAGGTGACGGTGCTTCTTTTCCAGCTGTAGTTCCCCCTCCTGCCTGGCACTTTGAGAGAATTAATTTGAGAGATTTGTCAGTGCTTTCCAGATGCTTCACAAAACACACAAACAGCCTCTGGGGGAAATCTGGGCACTGTTAATTCACTTCAAAATAAAGTTTTTAACACACTTGAGCATAGAAAAGAACACATCATAAGCACGGCCTTGGGCAGCTGTACGGGGGCAGCGCTGGTGGCCATGCAAGGTGTGGGAAGGGGGCTGCTGCCCCATCCCTGCTGCCGGCTGGGAATTCCCCAGGAGCCAGCCTGCTGTGTGGTGACACGTCAGCCACCAGTCTCGGGGGCAGTATTTGACAGTAACTAAAAAAGAAAGTGTTTACTCAGTTCTTTTTTCGCAGCCGCAGCTCAAAGTGCAAGTGCTGGAGGCTTTTGCCGGGTCAAGGGCCACAGAACTGCACCCGCAAACCTTGCTTCACACTTGGGTGCTGGCAACAAGTCTGGCCACTGACCAAAAAGCGTGCAAGCAGTGACTAACGAGCCAGTGCCTTGTATGCACAGAGTGCTGCCTACTAGATGCATGCTTCCAGTATGAGCACGGGGTCTTCTCATCAGCAGCTCCCCACCCCTTCAAAGCAACGCTCACGTTGAGCTCCCTGGCTCCGTTTGGAAGCTCTGCTCCCAACCCCACAGCTTTTCTGCTTGAAGACTCTTTGATCGCCACGCAGAGGGCAGCACCGCGAGGACCAGGAGTGGAAATATGGAAAACAAATCCTTCAAGAGAAACGGTGGTTAAAATATTTTATTTTTTTATATCATAGAACATACTGCTGTTTACTTTAAATCACTTTAGAGTAAAGGCACACATTGTTAAAAATACTTCAGATTTACATTGCATGTACAAATGCGTGAGCAGGTGTACATGTCACCAAAAAAATACAATATGGCTTCGTAAGGTTGAGGTGGGGCTGGGACAGTTCAACATGTATTTAAGTTTTACAGGATGCTCTTAACACTGAAAGGACTGACTAGAACAGAAAAGAATGGACCTAAAACACTGATTGTTACATAGACAGCATAACACATTGAATATACAACGCCAAGCATTCGGGTATGGATTCGCAGGACTGGTGGTTCTGCAAATTCATCAGGCTTTCAAGTGCCACTGAGTAAACAGGGCAGGCATATGGTCTGCCAGATCGCGATAGTGGGAAGAAATCGCAAATTCTGTCCACAAAACAGCCTCCTTTAAGAATATGCTGATATGCTTTGAGGAAAAAAAAAAAAAAAAAAAAAAAGAAAGAAACGGACTTGAGATATTAACTGCAGAAAAGGACTGAATAACAAACAGACAACTTACACTTCTGGCTAAAAAACGTAACGCATTAAGCCTGCAAGAATGCTCCATGACAATCATTTAGCATTAGTCCCACCCAAGTTTAAGGCTCATATCTAAAGTTTACCGTAGATTTGTTTTCTTTTGTGTAAAATTACCTGAGCACAGATATCAAAGATCTACAGAGCTTTTAAAATATCTGCAGATACCTTAAAAATCTGTAGGTATCTTAAAGCGAGATATCAATATCTTGATCTCTACACCAGTTTAAGAGATCTCAAAAAAAAAAAAAAAAAAGAAAAAGAAAAAAACAACCACAAAACATCAACCACCTTTTGGTATTTCAGTAAAGCCAGGAGAAGAATGAGCTTAAGCTTTTGCTTTCATCTCTTAAAAACGTACATAAAGCGTAATAGAGTTCTTCAAATAGGACCGCTTAATTGTAAACAATACATTAAACCTTTACAAAAATCAGGAATCAAAAGTCAGGCAGTCACTCTCGTCTTCTAGAAATTGTTTATAAACGCTACTTTGCATCTTGCTAGAGAAAGCTGGTGGTTTCTTAAGTACTGACAGATGGAAAACAAGAAGGACCTGACTCCACTCCAAGAGCGTGTTACCATTTACACTCCTGTGCTGAAGCAGTGTGAATTGCTGCTGTCCTCGTTTGCTGAGGCGTGTTCCCTGCACACCACTAAGGGCCCAGATCCAGAAAAGCACCTTGCATTGTCTTAAGAGCTCTGCAGGATTGGGTTAGATTTAACAGGTTTAAACACAAACATGCGCTTAAATGATTTGCTGCACAGGGACTCATAAAATTTGCCAAGTGCAAGGCAGAAAAGCATCAGGTTGCGTGGACAGACCAGCTCCCAGCCATCATGGAGAGGGGCATCAGACCCTTAATTTCATTTAAAAAGCCTGAAAACGACAACACAGCATGGAAGATACATGTACATCCTTCCAGCAAACAACAGACTATTTAGGATGATTTCTGACACAAGGCTCTGGAAATTTACCCTACTAAAAACCGTTCATTGGTTTCATCAAACCAGCAAAGAAACACAAAGCACACGATCACCTTTTCGTCCTCTTGCCTCAAACACCGGTTCTCATTTTCCAATCCCAAAAGAAATGAATATAGATTAAAAACCCCACTTCAATCAACGAGCAACTGTATGTGAGCCTGAGGAGCAAATGGGCTTCTTCCGTTCAAATACACCAGGTTAAAACTTTGATATGACGATTAAAACTATTCGCACTGCTGAACTGGGACTAGCTGATTGCAGAGGGCACTTTACAATCATCGACAATCCTCTATAAAGGGTACCAAAACCTCCTATTAAGTATGAGCCTAGGATTCAAAAAAGACAAAGAAATAGATGGATGACAGATGGCTGTTCTGGAAAATTTATAAACATCACAGCAGTCTGAAGTACCCATGATTCTATGTATAAATAGCAAGTAACCCAAATAAAATGCTACAGCTAGTTTGAAAAAGCTAAGTTGAACATTGCTTTTCTATTAAATAGGTTAAAATATTCATCCACTGAGAAATCACATCGATAAATAAAATATTTTCATGTATCAAAAGTGAGGGGCAGGTACTGTCAATTCCAGACTTCTTGTCCCGGTAATGGAAGGTCCGAGAAACAAAAGTAACTTGTACAGTAGTTCTAGCCTCTTAAATTTACAACACTGAATCCAGCAGGATTTGGCTAAATAATACAATTTAAATAACCTAATCTAAAGGAACAGAGTGTCCTGTAAACATCTGACAAACCACATTGCATTCTGATGGTGTGGCTGTACCTTCTCTACGCAGGAGAGAGACGATTCAACTGGTGGCGGGAATGAGGGACGCAATCGAAAGGCAACATTTCTGTTC